GCCCCTAGCCTCATGAGCATAGCAAAAAGAACGGAACATAAGCGTTAGTTTCGATAATACTAATCCTACACACAAGACAAAATGATCACTCTTTCCGTGGAAGATTCCTTTAAGGTATCGTTTTCTGTGGTAATGAGGGCGGAGCTTTTTCCGTGGAAGATTCCTTTAAGACATTTACAATAAGATGGAGGGCGCATCGGGGAAGCATGTGCACCACACGAATCAGTTACTTGGTTGCCAGGGAAGCGAGATGTGGCGCTCTCACAACGAAAGGTGCGCTGGTTGCTGAGCAGGACTTCGAAAGCGCTCCGCCCCCAAAAGCGATCCGCCCACAGTTTACTTGTTGATTTGGACGAGCTGCGTTGCCAGCAGCGGCGCAAATGGAGCATCTCGATTAAGCGTAGTTTGGCATAGTGCCATCGAGTGCATTGGGGTAAACTCGTTAATACTGATTCTTTACTAAATCATTAGATAAGTCCACTTTCTTAGTCTGTACCTCTTTCATTGAGTGAGAAACTAATCGGCCAAAAGGGCGGTCCATATATTGCGTTTCTTGACAGATTTTTGCTTTTCGCTGTCGTGGTACCATTTGTGTACAGCCAGTCACACCAGAACTTCTCGAATGATATGGTAACGCTGCTTTTTGAAACGCTGGATCCGGTGGACAGTAAAAAGAGGTTTCATAAAAAAATGCCAGCTGCTGAGTCTGGAAGTATTCGTATGGGTAAACAGGGATAGGCTGTCCGCCATAAGTTTTGTACAAATGAGACGAGGGTTCATAATCAACACCGTTCCCTTGGGGCGTGGCAGCCTGTTTTGTGGCGATAAATTCCGTGTCATGGGGAGGGTTCCGTTTGGTGTGACGAGGAGCATTTTTGGTGAAACGTGTCGAAAGCTGCCAGAGCTTCTCAGCGGCTGGCAGGACGATACATGTCGACTGCTTAAAGCTTGTTAAAGCTTTGAGGAAAACAGTACCCTCGCCTTCAAATGACCAGAAATTGTGCAATTGCAGAAATTGACGTGGCATTAACGTGGCATCGATTCAAGAACATCTTTGAGCACACGTGATGTCACCTTTTCATCGAGAATTTAGCCACGTGTGCCAATGCCACGTCAATTTCTGCAATTGCACAATTTCTGGTCATTTGAAGGCGAGGGTAAATATTCAAACAGAACACGTCAAAAACCAAACCCGGCTCCTATAAGTAGCGAAAGTCTCAAACCACGCTACTTTTTCCATGTTTTTTGTCTTTTCACTTTACTGATTTCCTTAATTTGTTAAGCTACTGTCTGCCTGAGAGTTAAGGCAGATATAATATCCTCTGATAATTCTTTGGTGACAGTAGCCAAACAGCAACAGCAGCATGCTGCCCCCCCCCCCATCCTTTGCTCCAGTAACTCATTCGGAATGGTTTTTTGATCCCTGAAGGGCTCAGCATACATATGTAACAGGTTCTCACATATTTCCTTAGTAGCCATCACGACAATGTACGGAGTGTCGCCCGTGTCGGACAACAGGCCATTTGTGAAAGAGGTCCATAAATGTCGGAATGGTGTGTAAAACGAGCTGTACTGAATAAAAAACGTCATGATCAGAAATAAAAACGGTTCAATACCAGCATGGACCTAAACAGTCGCGCAGCATATGCTGGCGGTCTTTGAAAACTGGAACACTGCAAGCCAAATGGAAGCGCAATAATAATGAGATTCATGTCAGCAAACATTTTCGGAAGGGATTGCCGTTTTTTTCTTTTTCTGTTCTTTTTTTGATGACATACTACATAACCTTGGGAAGGAACGCTGTCACATAAAACTGTTTAAAAGTATGCATCTTTGATTCGTGGCCTCCAGCAGGGTCAACCGTCACGTTCGAACATTTTCGGGATTTTTGCGACCCCCTAGCTCTCGAGGGGGTCCAGTTGCGACCCCCTGTTTTTGTTAATAAGAGTGCTAGACATGAATCCGTTGCGCCAGAAAGCGTCTGCGCCGCCGCCAGAAAGCGTCTGCAAGAAAGAACTTTGTTTTCAGCCCCGAGAAGTCAAACCTTTATAGGGATGCATCTTACTCCTCAAGGAAAACACCGTAATTTGCCTAAAACTGTCTCTCTGTGCATAAATCGAATCTAATGCGGTCTGCACAAACAATTCTTGCCCTCGGATACGCCACGCACGCGCCTGTGGCTGGCAGTCCTCGAAATTGCGACCCCCTTCCGACCAAAATGCGACCCCTTCGTTCGAACAGTTCGAACGGACGGTTGACCCTGCTCTAAAGCACTGTGACTCACTTCAAGAACGCACTTTTTTAAAATCATAACTAGGACCTCAGAAATGCCTTTTCCTAGCTGCGGCATCTTCTGCAGTGGCTTCACTTTTGTGAGGTGCCCTATGAGGCCCCTCCACCTTTTCTTCAAGAGACTCCGTGCTCTGGGCTCCAAAGCCTACTGTTTTCCTTGTTGGGTGGTCTTACTGTTTTTAAAGCACAGGGTGTCCATACCATCGCAGGCGTAGTTCCATAGTTTGAACCATGAAGTCATCACCACCGGCGCTGACTTCGCTCAAAGCCGCAGGCCCATCTCAGCATCCTCATCTCATAATCAGCGGAGTGAAGCTGCCTTTCGTGATTCTTGTTCAGGGGCCAGCACTCGCTGCCGTATAGCATCGCAGGCCTTACCACTGTCCGGTACACCTTTCCTTTGAGCGCTTCTGGAGCACCTTCGATCGCAGAGGATATTACTCGACTCACTCCATCCACTCCATCCATTTCATTCATGCCGCGTTTACCCGAGCACCTGTCTGGTTCACACTACCACTACGTAATTCGCTAGAACTACCGGAAGTCCTCCACTGTTTTGATGATTTTCCTATGGTGCTCTACAGACACTCTGTCTGTTCCTTGGTCTTCTCGATGTGCAATCGTATCCCACCTTCTGCTAGCACTTCCTGAAACCTCTGCATTACTCAGTCGTTCTCTTTTGTCCGCTATCGAGGGATGAAGTCCGCGTAAGGGATGGTCTTCAGCTGTTCCTTCATGAGCCCCATCATCATGGCATCCAGTGTTCGGAGGAAGAGGAACCGGTCACAAGCTGATAATTGGTGTAACCTCTTAGTGATATGTATCCTTTGTTAAGCCGGCAGAGCTTAAACCCCCAAAACGATCCCCCCACATGTTTACTTGGTGATTTGGACGAACTGCGTTTCCAACAGCAGCACAACTGGAGCAACGGGAGTGGAGCGTGGTTCGGCATGGTGCCACCAAACGCCTTGCGGTGAACTCAGTTTAAACGTCCGATTGCTGAGCTGTTACCTGTTCATGAGTGGAATACTAATGGCGAAAAAAAGGGCGCCTGCTTTGCCTTTTTCAATGGATTTTCTGCTTTATTCGCTACTGATGTACCAATGAGTACCACCACGTCTCTCTGAACCTTCCTACAAATTATCGTAATCGCTGCCTTTAAGGTTCACTGCGATTTGTCTCCAGGTAACTCCTGCAATCTCCCCATTGCTGGCAGATCCACTCACCACCAGTCTACATTACGAACGAGGCAAGCACCACTGTCCAAATAGAAAAGCGAACATAGTCATAGTCAATTTATTATACGAGGGTGTCAAAAAAACCAGACACTCAGCATGCTCTCTCCAGTGGAGTACGTTGCCCTGAGTTAGGAAACAGGCTACTCTTCCGTTGTAAATGTACTTGTTAATTTTCCTCGTTTGAAGGAAAGATTATGTTTGTTCAGGAGTTTGGGCAAGATTCAATAGGGCTGGTACAAGCGTCAAAAGTAGCCGATCTCGCGGAGCTCGAACGAGGGACAGTTTTGCGTGGCGGTATCTGAGCCCGATCTCTTCCATACAGAGGTTGAGGAAATCGTGAACGAGTATAGTGTTTTGTTGGTAACACAGGTGGAACTAGTATCCAGCCAGGATTCAATAAAGTTTTATTTATTCGGTGTTAAAAGTTGAGTAATGTAAGTAAGACACAATCAACGAGGGCTTGAAAATTGCACAGCTGCGCCGCGAAGACGCCCTGAACCCAACAAAGTGGGACTCGTTCCGAAGAACGGACCCTGCCCCAGCGGGACAACCTTAGGACTAGGAAGAAGAAGTAATGTAAGTGCCTTTCATGCAATCACCCCTGTGCGTGATCTTCAACGACTTTTACTTACCCGAATTTCTTACTTGGAAATGCTCCCGATTCCCACGAAATATGAGTAGGGCCTGTGTGGACAAACCTGAGATTCTGGTTACTAAATAAAGAATAAAACCGCTTTGTAACCCTACCAAGGAGGTCATAGGCGACCAAATTGGTAGAAGGCTCGATTCTCCTTGGGGGCAAGATTTCTGCATTTCTTATGGTGCTTCCAGATTGGTGCTGAATGGAGCAACTACCGAGAATAGATGTCATTTCGCCACGGCCATTTGTGTCCCTCGCTGGAAACGGGTTAGGGCCAAAGTCGCCATTACCCCAACGTAGCATTCACAGCAACACTGACCAACCCTCACTTAACAGGTCCACATGCTAACAGTTTTTGGGTGCTAACTTAGTTTAGGGGGGCGAACCACGCGGCGGCGGGAGGCTCTATTCTTCTGCAACTCTAAGGCTCAGCCATAGGGGCCGTTACTCTTTCACCGCACAGTGGCAGTTTTGAAATACAGTAGCTAACAACAAAAGCCCCGAAAGGAGATAGGACAAAAGCGCACGCGGCCGCGTGGTCCCCCCCCTATAACTAGCTTAGCCTCAATTTTGGAACCTCCTATTTATGATTGAGCCTCGAGCTCTTACATAAATGACATCCTATCTCAATACACAGTTCCATGGAAATATGAAAGCCGCCTGGCTTAGTTATATTATGACCTGAAGATTCAGTATATGCATAAGTATGTGCTTCAGTGAAGGCTTGCCGATTGTTCGTTGGCCCTGTCTTGTACACCTGGCCGATCATATTATATATCCACGACTCATCAAAGGACTAGGCATTTCCAGAGAGTTTTCCTTACTGTGTGTTAGGAAGTCCGAAGGCACGGCCATTGCTTCTGAGCTTCATCGTTGAATCTTGTGCCCATCGCATCAAGCGCAGCCTTCTGGTCAGCAGTTAGTGGCTTGCGCTTCTCCAGGAACTTCTCGAAGATATCCCAGAAGTCCTGAACGACGAAGTGAGAGCATTTGCGAGTGAGATTGGATACAAGCCGAGGCCCAAGCACCAAAACCTTCACAAGCTTAGGGGGTCAATGCCTCGTTCCTTATGTCGGTTCATGAGATCACGGACGAAGGCACGGAAGATCATCTCCTAGAAACAATTGCATTTAGTTTTTCAGGTTGATACAGAGGGTGAAAGCCAGGAATCTCACATTGTCATAGGTGTCGGCGAGAATGTGCACGGATGTGAGCAGAGCCATGCCTTGTACGGCGAACCTGCAATCATCAAGTGGGTTTTCTATGGCTGACAATGCTCAGAACCCACGTGAAGCTGACCTATCGCTTTTCTGGACGTCGTCGGCGAGTGAAGCTTTCAGCACCTTTGAAATACTTGCGCACATCCGGATGCTCAGTGAAGAGACTGAAATATGGACACAGTAATTCTCACCGCGACTTCGCCCTATACACTTACTACTTGTAGAAGTCTTTGCCGTTCTGAACCTTCTCGGGGGTCGTGCCGAGAGCGACACTCTCTAAGGCGGCCAGGCTATTCTTCTCTTCGACATCCCTGGACCTCATTCTAACAATGTAGTCAACATAGAGACGTTTGGGTAAGGTGCTGAAGAGGTTAGGCAGATTTTTAAGAGGCGGGCCTTGTTCCAGCGGAACTTTGGTATGTGTGGTGCTTCTTGCAGCACCTATTACCTCGAAGTACTGCGGGTGCTCAAAAGTGTTCGCCGAAACGATTTTCGGTGCATTATTTTTTCTCGCTTGAGCGACGTCCCCAAAGATTGATATACTATGTTTTCTAGTGTTTTTATATCCTCAAGTCTTAGAGAATCAGAATATTAAAAAGAAAAAATTTTTCGAGGTCGACCATTGATTTCCTTGGCAAGAAAATGAGAAGCGCGAAAAACCGTTTCAGCGAACACTTTTGTATATTTGAAGATAGAAATGGGGAATACTCACGAGAGACCCGAAGCGACGGAAGCCGCAAGCGCGAAGAATGAGAAGTTCATTCTAGAAGTTTCAGCATTAGAGAATTATAGTGAGATGGGAATGGTACCCTGTTACCGGCAATTTGGTAAAATCTGCTAGATGTAAGGTAGGTGTGGTTTAGATTTTACTTAGAACTCAGACTCTGAACGATTGCAGACGTGGGGAAGATAATGCAGATCGAGCTCGACGCGAGGTGAAATCAGTATAGGAGGCTCACTGGATGAAGAAGTGATGTCCAGATTGTGTTCGGGGCAGAGAATTATCAGGAAAAAGTTACTGAGAATTTTCACATTCACAGGAAAAGCTGGGAACTTAGCCGTAGGGCAAAAACTCCTAAGATGGCCCCGCTTGGAATGGGTCCCTGCTGCTACCGAGGGGAGTACTTGAAAGACTCTCTTAGGCCATTTTTACTTAGATTTTACAAAGACTCCAATGCTACTGCCTCCGAACAACGGCGCTAGTGCGACTTGGAGGGAAGGTATCGCTTATGCGGACTGATCCTGGGAGCGAAGAGAGCAAGACTTGTGCGAACTTTAAATTCCCACATGCACTCTCCCCAGTTCCCCTTTGAAGTTTAGTTTGTAGAACTCGTGCAAGGAGGTGAGTTTGATGTGCTTCTTTACATAAACGATTTGCTCCGTAGGGCTACCAGCACTCGGTCCAGGTCTAAAAATGAAGAAGGAACTTTCACGTTAGCCAGTCAAGAAGGACAAGGTAACATAAAGCTGGGGGATGAGGGAAAATTATAAGGAAAGATTCCCTACGAGGGTTCCGAAGGATGGATAAGCAAGTCCAAAAGAGCCTTGAGAGGGAATAACGGTGCGAGCAAAACCTTGATGCGGGGAGCCGGAGACCACTCCCAAACGCGGCATCGAGCCAATGGTAGCCACATCCAGGTCGAGCAGAAGGGGAACGCTAGCCTTGCTTCTTCGGGCGTCAGAATCAAGATATGGCGTGTTGTCCGATCATGCCCTTTTATACCACCTTGGGAGGAAGAGGGGTGGAGTGTAGTACTGCGTGTAGCGCTCTCCGTTACGATTTTCACGTTCACATCTACGAGCGATCAGCAACATCCATCCGATGAAAACATAGCTTGAGCTATTTTCGCTTTGTGTAGTACGCCGTGATTTTTCAGCCCCGCTTTGATATATGGCGATGGAGAACGGCAGAAGTTATTACGACTACTCCCAGTTAATGTCTATCTATCTCTTGTAAAAGATCAAACATGAGTGGAAAATTACTGGTAAAGACTTCAAGTTTTCTCATACTGGAGCTTCTGGTTTCGTATTGGCACACACTCAAGTGGTACATAATCAGCCTGAAAAGGAGCAATGAAAGACGAACTGTTGAATGCATCAGTGATTATCCAACGCTTTTTGATGGAATGCGCACGCAGTCGACTGTCATTCGGCATTCTTCATGGAGGTGATGATGCTTGCTGTACTGACCCCAGAGCTGTGTCTCGCATGGCTTCACATTGATTTGAAAGTTTTAGGTGTTGGATGGATCATCGCGTCGCGCGCTCTTGGGATTGCGGCTATGCATCTCTTGTTCTCCTCTGTTACAGCGAGGTTTGTTGAGTTGAACAGTTTCTGTGCGAGTTGGCCAAACACAGTGACTTGGTAGGAGTACTCTCAATATTCTTGGTGACTCAGTAATCAACTCCGAAGGGCACGGCTTTCCTGAGACAAATCGCTCACCGGTCCAGGATTATAGCTATACCTCGGAGGTAGCTGAGTCACCACTTACTCCTACAATAACGGCGTTCCGTCCTGATGATTCTAAGATTTGATATTTCAACAAAGAAAACATTTCTGAAGCTTGGGAACAAAAGAAGGCTTTGAAGTTATCCATGGCGAATCCTTTTCCACAGATTCCGCTTGAGTTGAGCGCTGGGAAACATTTCCATGGACACGTTCGGAAACCGTATCAAACCCGAATTTTAGGTCGTTAAATAAGAAACTGTAGCCCACCGTATTTGTTGGACTGGGCGCGTGTTAGTTTCAGAGGGCCAGGCAGCGAGGGCAAAGTTTGAAAGCTTCGGCCACTCTTCCTTTCTGAAGATTGGCGAGGCCTGCCCAAAGATTTCACCGAAGATTTTCGCCCCGAAGTTGGACTATTGAAAACCTAATCGGGACCCTGAAAATGCAAGGGCCATTCGCAGTAGTCGTGCACATAGAAGCAGATTTCTTTGACCTTGTTGAATAGCCTCGGGAATTGGCCATCTGTAGATAGCCTACTCATTTTCCACCATTCATCCTTCAATATCACCCATGTATTTTCAGATACATAATTCAGAAGCTTTGCAGAATGTACTGGATTACTGTAGTACATAGCGCTCGTGTGAAAATGCTATGTTTATACGGAGGCTATCTCCGTCGTTCTCCTCTGCTGCTATGTTGATACGTTTGCAAGCCTGATTTTTTTGTTGAGATTTACGGCTTGCACTTTCAGAGCAACGTACTTTCAGTGTAACAGTGCAATTTTTCTGCTCTTAGCAGCTGTTACATAAAAAATGACGATCTGTTAAGTTGTTTGTTGCTTTGATCTCGAGCGATCTCTTCCAGCAAGAGGAGGTTCTCTCGAAGTTCTGCACCCAGGTGAGAGAACTATGTAGTGACTGGATAAGCATATCTGACTTCTTGAGACCAGCCGATGTTTGATCACTCATGAGGATTTCTAGGCCAAGCAGGTCAAGTATGAGCTCGTTCTACCGGCACATGATAGAAAAGTGTGTTTGAAACAAGGTCAATCTTTTGCTGTTGGTGGTCAGAAACTTCCTCAGAACTGTTCGTTTGGCTCCAACCAGTAAGGTCTTTCAGGTCGAGCCCACCTTCTTCTAAACGGGTATATAGCGAAATGTGAATGGAACATGAAACTATGCTTCGTTTTTCCTGAGCGGACGGCTGACGAAAGACTTGTTCATGGTTCGATCCCGCGTGACAAAGCTTTTAATTTCCTATTGACGCTTGCGTGATGTCCTAGTACGGTACCCCTGGTACAATGGATGCCATGTCACTTTCAGGACCTTCGGTAACCCACATGAGTAGGTTTTGTCGAAAACTGATGCCAAGAAGGTGTGGTGCTTGAGCTTTTGAACCAATTTCCTGTCATTCAGAAGACCGCTCAGGGAAAGAAACGTTTTTTTTTCAAAACTGGGCCACGACCTTAACGACTTTCCTGGCAAGGAAGATTGAACGGGCACTGAACCTGATACATTGTCTGATGTTTGGGAAAGCTCAATCTCTCGCTCTGATGGAGCAGGTCGTGGCACACTAATCGCTTAGTATTCCAAGTGCACCACAATAAAACCTTCGCCGGATGCAGCTGTGCTTCCAGATGCCTAGAAGCCCCTTAGCAAGAGGAGATGGTGAGACACTTCTGGTAGAGGTGAGGTGGTAGACCTAGAGCTTCCAACTCTCAGAATGGATTATGCTACACATGAGACACACGTGAGGGAGAGGGGGTTCATCGTAAAGGGCTAACGTAGGATCAAACGAGAGAAAAACTCCCTCAATATGTCTTCATAGGAGGGTTGAACGCTTTTAGATGGCCGAGATGCTGTGCCTCCTGATGGACTTCCTGAAACTCTTGGCCCCACTGAAGAGACGATCGCCAACGACGACAGACTGGCTTTTGTCTCAAAAGCCGTCGGTCCATTCGTATTGCCACATAATCCTGTGAGCAAAGCCAGAGGACGGAGGTCGTATCTGGGCAAGGTAGACTGCTCAAAGAGGCCTAATGGCTGAGGCACATGAACGTCTGCTGGCCTGCAGCGGTGGCCAAGCTAGAAGGAAGAGCTTCAAAGTTGCCGTCTTCTTTCAGGTGGCGGCACTTCCAACCAGAGTCAACCCTGCGTTGCGCAGTTTTCAACGGCCACGTTGCGCAGTTTCGCCCGATTAGACACGTTCTCTCGCGCGAACATTCACACTCGCATGCTCGAGCCGTCTGTGTCTCCGCCCATACAGCGTGCGTTGAGGATCTCTCACGTGCCGTTGCGAACTGCGCAACGCAGGGTTGACTCTGCCACCGAAGTTTTGCCGACGAGCGACCCATTTCACTCCGATGGCTTCTACACGTGAAAATGTCATAGAACTCGCCCATAGAGAGAAAAATTCTGAACACATGGTGATCCATATCGGATTCATTCTTATGGATTAGCAAGGGTTTGCCACAAACGATAATAGCCCACTATAATGGTGCATATGCTTATCCCGGCTAAAAGGGGCAGGACGAACAGAATGGTCTTCAACACCTGCTCGAGTAACTGACCTTAAGCCCTGACTTAGGCCTGCAAAGTAACAACTCCAGTATGAGCCGTCGTGTGTGAGCAATTAGCTTTCTGTGGTTTAAGTGCAGTTGCCCATGAGATATTGCTTGGAAGGCCTAGCCTAAAAGCGGT